TGAATTCTTGGTCTAATATAATGCTAGTAAGCATATTTTTCTTTATTACAAATTGTGTAATTATTAACTGTAAATAATCATTTTACCTACCTTACTTCTAGGGGCAGATCACTCTAACAACGTAAAACTAACCTACAAATAAAACTCTATAGAGTGCAGTGATAGGAGCTTCCTTAAGAAAAAGAAAGCAAAAGCCTTTAAGTGATCTTATATATATGCTGATGATAAAAAATATTTTTTTATGTGTTGTACAACCTTTTCAACATTTAAATTTTTAGGTTCTCATGAGGAAAGTCTTAAAAAAGTACTTGGAAAAAACCCTTTTTCAAAGACGGACATATCAGTAGCTTTGGCTGAACACCTCTTAGGAAAGCTTTCATCTGACTGTACATATGTCATTGATCACAAATTAGCAACAGGAAAAGGAACATGCAAATGTGGATGTGAAAAACTGCCACATTTCGGAAATACAGGCATTGGTATGTTTTTGTTCATATGTGTAGTCTCATCACTAGCATTTTGATCTGCTTGTTAATTTCAGCTCCTTATAGGCATTCTTAATTATTTGAAAATAATCAAGAGGTATAGCAGAATTATATACTTCTCATGTAGGTCATGAAGCTGTATGGCATGGACATATAGATGTTGTCTTCTCATCTCATCTTGACCAACCTCCCTCAGACATAGCTATAAAAACTATTGGTAAATGTGAACCAGAGTTGCCTGTAAAGGAAGATGATGAGGAAGAAACCTGTTGCTCACCTCCTGAAAAAAAGAGAAAAGAAGGTAGCAAAAAGACCATTATGTATGGTCCTGGTTATAAGCTTTTAACCTTAGATGACCTTTAGTGCTATCCATTGTGCAGTCTACATGTAGCTGTCGTGCATTTTCCAATGTTACATGTATGTATGTAAATTTAAGAGCTCTGCATGAATTTCTGGCATCCTACATAGTTATTGCATTGTCTTGTCTGTCCATCCATCTGCAAACACTTTGGTGTCGTAGCACCATATCATGATGACCCTTCCAATTCTTATAAAGAGCTAGGTAGTTGACAATAGAATACATAAATTGACTTTGTGGTTAAATTTATTTCACTGTCCATCTGTCTGTATGTATGACTTTCAAAACAACATTTTATTGGGATATAAAAGCTCATTGATAAGTTTTGATAAGATTTATGGCATATCACTTTGTCTGTGTGTATGTATCATGCAGTCATTTATGGACCATTTGCTTGTTATAGAGAGATATTGGAACCAAAGATTTTTATGACCTGAATGTGTGTGTCATAACCTAAAACCAATTAAGGTTACAGTATTCCAGGCAGTTCAAGGTCACTAGCTGAAAAGGGATTAAGTTCATGATTGGTCTTCAATTTTCTAATGTAAATTTCCATCCTGAACAAATTTTGTAACAGAGAACATTGAAGTTCAACATGTTCAAAGCAAGTATTCTCACATAATGGATATTTGATTTTTATCAACTCATCGCTCCCAGGATAGAGTTGAGCCACAAATACACCCCTACTAATGTCATTGTGATTTAAATTCAAGACACTGGTTTGGGTTGACCTATTCAAGGATTATAGGGTAGAACGGGTTTTATAAATAGAATTGGCAGAAAACAGGAAATTGCTATAGTCTTTTTCTTTTGAAAACATGTCCTTTGAAAATGTGAATTCAACCTTTTTGAAAGACTTATATGATTTTTCAACAGAAATAGGGTGGCTAAAGGGGAGGGGGGTTAAAATAAAAATGTATCATACATAATGGCGAAAATTAGACCTCACTAGCGACCGATGCGCTGGTAAAAAATATGTGTAATTTCATCCACACTGACAAACCTTTGCTTGCCTTATATGGCTATTGTTATAAATGCGCACAGAGGATAATACCACGAGCAACTGACCAATGAATAGCAACGTTTACGCCAAATTTATGTTTACTTCGAACACGTGGTTCAGGTCAATCTAGGATTGTGTCAATGGAGTGCAAAATCAAAAAAAATATTCTTATGAACAAAATACAAAGATTAGAAACTATGAAAAAATTGTTGTTAACTAGAAAAAAATATGTTTATAAAAATGTAGTTTTTGTCTACTTTAGAACACCAGCGCTTCAAAAAAGCATTTAAATGGACAAAACTTTGTTTACATAACTATACTCATGATCACGTGGCCGGGGATCCACCTGACAATTGTATTCACCGATAGTACAACAAAGGAATTAAGACAGCACAAAATCGCTTTTTTGCAGTATGACTTTGAGAAACCTAGTCTTCCATCATTTATTCAAATGACTTTTTTGTCATTGTGATCATGAAAGGAATCTTGCTTTTCATTTACTTCCATGGTTTTCTTTTATTTCAAGTGTAAAATTCCTGTAGTATTCGTAGTAACCCATAATGCAATCCTCATTCAGCTGATTGGTCATTCAAAGTCATGTTGGTGCCGCATTTGCTAATCTGACGCCAAAAGTATAGCCCCGGTTCCCAGGCAAAATTTTGTCCAGAGAGAAATTTTAATTCATTACTGCAGAAAAGTGTATTATAGAGAATATTTATCTGAGTTTGAATGAATGTAAGAGAGATTGATTAAGTACATTTCTACAGATATTATAGGGTGATGAAAACTGAAATGCAACATAACTTTTCTGTTTATCATATCTCCATGTGCTAGTCACTTCCTAGCCACATTTCCGTGAATAATTTACCCTATCTCGCTGTAGTCTCGCTAACTCTCGCCAGAGCCACTTCCAGAGCTACTTAGAACTCATCGGGCTTTATAATTTGCAGAACACAGAAAAATAAAAGGTTCCGAACACATTAGTAGGGGTGAAATATATAAGGTTTAAAGTTTTACATTTAAACATATAGGAAAACATCCTTGAAAATCTTTTTAATACAGTTAAACAATGATAATAAGAGATATTTTAAATATGCAAGTATTCTTGGGTTTTGGATTCAATCAAATTTAATTTAGTGATGGTTTAGGTAGGGATAGGGTTGGGCCATAATATAGGATGAAAGGTCTGATTTGAAGACTGCAGACTACAAAAACCTCTCTTTCAAGAAAAGCATAACCAAGTTTTTTTTTATCCCCAGGTTTGTACATTTAAGTTTGTTTAACTCCAAGCTGCAGTGTATAGGATATGAATATTTTTCCTGGGAATAAAATCTTTCTCTTTTTCAAAAGACAGCATGGCTATATGACTAATGGTAATTATATGCAAACATTGTTGAGTTGTACATGCAGATTAAAATTTGTTTAGATTAAAGAGGACTAAGTTTGCATGATTGAGTGTCCTAGATTTTCATAGAAATGTATTTAGGGGGGGGGGGGTATGATGTTCATAAGTAAACAATGTCCTTAGTTGTGTAGATTAAATATTTTTTTCAATTTATTGATCTTTGGTAAGTTTGGGTAGGGCAGGTCTAAAATTTCCCTTTTGAAAATGTACATGGGAAAACAATCTAGCCTTCTACAATTTTTGGCCCTGAGTGTAATTTTTTGTATTACCAATAGTAAACATGGTGATTAACATATTATATTACATGTTTTTTTTTAATTTTAGGTAATTTGGAAGAAACCAAAGAATCTACTGGTGGGAAATCTATTGCCGAAGTGAAACATTCACCATTAGATGGTGTAAGAAAACAGACAATTGCACAAACAATTGTCTCTTCCCTACTCCAAAAGCAGAACCATCCTGATTTGAAAAATTTCCTTGTTCCAAATATTTTGATTTCTCCAGAAGAGATACAAATAATAATGTATGATGCAAAAAATGATGTGCTACTCTGCAGTAACGTGATTAAATTATTTATCTGTAATGAATTTTGCCTGGGGACGGTCATCATACTTTGGATGGTTCTTCATTATCGGATGTTCTGCAGTGGGCTTCTTATTGACAATCTTCCAATGCTTGATGAGTACAAATCTCATTTTAAAGAACTCACACAGGCAAAATGGAACATATATTCAAATTTATTGAAAGGTCGTGTTTCTAATTTTCCAGTGATTGAATATGAAGGGCTTGACTTTAATGTGGATTTTTTTTTCTGTGCCAAAAATGTACTTGATAATGAAGAACAGGTTTAAACCAAAGGTTCAACAAGCTTTTATGATTAAAAATTTTCTTTTGTTGTTTGTTGAATTAGCTTAAATACACCTTGCTGTGTTTGAAAGCTAATTTCTGAAATGCTTGTAAAATGACCTTAAAAAATTACAATACCTTTAACATAAATAGTACCCCCTTTTAAGTGCTCTGTTGATCTTTGTTTAGCTCATTGAAGCCAAAGGTTCAAGTGAGTTTTTCTGATCAAAATGTATCCATTGTCTGTTGTTGTTGTCAGGTTTTTACATTTCCATCTTCTTCTTTAGAACCCAAGGCTAATTTTAATCCAAAATTGACAAAGACAGACATGGATCCAGGATTCTTTCCAGGGGGGGGGGGGGTTAAGGGAATCAACCCCAGTCAAAAGGTATTCAAAACCAGTTTCATGACAAACAAATTAAAAAAAAATCAAAACATAGGTATAACAAACCATTGGTAAGTATGAACCAGATGTGCCTGAAAAGGAAGATGATCAAAGAAAACCCCTGCTATTCACTTCCTGAAAAAAAGAGAAAAGAAGGTAGCAAAAAGACTGTACTATATGGCCCCGATTATAAGCTTTTAACCTTGGATGACCTTTGATGCTATCTATTGTGCAGTTATTCTGTCATGCATTGTCCAATGCTAGTCAATACAACACTCATTTTTATGTGAAAACTGTTCAAATTTTTGAATGCCCCCATTGTCGAAGATTCAGGGGAATATAGTTTTTGTCATTTTCGTATGTCTGACTGTCTGTTAGTCAAAAGGTTCAATTTTTTGCGGACAAACAGACGGACAAAACAAAAACTATATTCCCTGTAGTCTTCGATTACGGGGGCATAATAACTTTAGACTGGGTGGGACTATGGCTTTCATCTTTGACAGGTGTATTCTTGTGATATGACCTTTCTTTGGGTACCACCAAATTTGACCTTGACCTTAGAGTTTGATCGACTTATACACAAAAATTTTTGATTACTTGGGCCATAACTTTTGAACGGTAGATACTAGCACTTTCATACTTCATATTTGTATTTTTTATGGCAAGACCTTTTATTTGATACCAACAACTTTGACTTTTTCCCTTGACCTTGGAGATTTCCGTACTTATAATAAATCTTTAACCTTGGCCATAACTTTTGAACGGTAAGGGCTAGGGCTTTTGTAATTCACATACTGCAGTATGTAATTCTTGTAAGAAGACCTTTCATTGGATACGAAGAACTTTGACCCTTTGACCTTGATCATGGAGTTTGACCTGTGTTTAAAAAAACAAACATTGACCACAACTTTTGAAGGATTAGGACTTTCATACTTCACATATTTAATCCTTGTGACAAGACCTTTCATTTGATATAAGGGACTTTGACCCTTGGAGTTTGACCTACTTTATAAAAAAACTTTAACCTTGGTCATAGCTTTGAAAGGGTTAAGACTTGGGCCTTCAGACTTCACATATGTAATTCTTGTGACAAGACCTTTCTTAAGAAGCCAATAACTTTGACCCTTTGACCTTTCAAACATAACTTATGAACAGATGATGCTAGGGTTTTCATATTTCACAATTGTATTTCTTGTGAGAAGACCATACTTTGAGTACCAATACATTCAATTTGCATTTATGAAAAGTCTTTACTATCTTGCTATCAGGGGGCATCAGCTTTCACAAACACCTCTTGGTTTTTTTTTTATTTTTTCACATTGACTATGAGACCTTTTGATCTACTTTAATAAAACTTAAACTTTGGCCATTGCTTTTGAAGTGTTATTAGTCTTTTCGATTATGTATTCCTTGTGACAGGACCTTTATTTGGAATCATTCTATTCATTTTTATCCATGACCATCTTAAATAAGATGTATTTGCTAAACACTGATGCCACCGTTTGGCAACACAGCGAAGGACAAATTCTCAAATGCAAATCAAATATGTTGGTACCCGAAGTAAGGCCTTTTTACAAGAAATATAATTGTGAAATATGAAAGCCCTGGCACCACCTATTCAAAAGTTATGACCAAGGTTAAAGTTTTTTTTTAAAGCTAGGTCAAACTACATGGTAATGATCAAATTGTAAAAGTTGTTGATACCCAATAAAAGGTATTGTCACAAAGATTACATATATGAAAAATGAAAGTCTTAGCCCGAACCTTTCAAAAGTTATGGCCAAGGTTAAAGTTTGTAAAAAGTAGGTCAAACTCCAAGGTCAAATGGTCAAAGTTGTTGTTTTTAAGTATGATCATGAGAAAATGATCCTTTTGCCCCCCTTATGAAGGTATGTTATTTCAAAGGCAGATTTTTTCAAACTTTGTGAGATTTTTGTAAATTTTAGATATTTTACATAAAGTATGCTTAAATGTTAGATGAATATCAAAGAAAATATTGATATCGTTGACAGGCGCGGATCATCAGATCAAACTCGACACTTCGCTTCTCGTTTGATCTGACGATCCGCGCCTGTCACCTCGACGTGATACGACCCTTCGGATCAAGTTACTGTTATAATGATAAATTTATTATATACCCATTTATAACTAGCTCTATTTGGCAAAATAAAACTTTAGAGATGAATTCTATAATATTTATCCATTAAACAAAGCGTTATAACAAGGGATTTTTTAACGCGCAAGAAAAATAACATCAAAAACATATTTCATATCAAATATTTCATTTTTTTCAATTGACCAATGTACATGTATATATAAATATAATGTGTAGATATTTGTTGAAATCATGACTGTTTTACATAAGTTTAAATGAAAATACTCATAAAAATGTAAATTCACATTCAGCTGTGATGATGTTTTCATGAGGGTTGCTCGTGTTATTTGTTGCTCACTGTAAAAAAATGCCGACTTTAAATAAAAAAAAAATATTTACTTACTTTCTTACTAACTTTTTCCGCAAACGCTTGAACGTTCCGAACAAATTAACCCTATTGAAAGAAATAGTTAATAACTGGTTATGTAAAAAAAAGGATTTTTCTTTTTCGTGAATGTTGAAAGCCGAAAGATATACACTGTATATTATTGGAGAAAATGGACGCAGATTTCTCCGATTTCGGCATTAATTTTAGTAAATAAAAACTATATTATTTAACCTTTGAAAATAATGTCTAAGTCCGATTACATTTGATTAAAGTACACTCAATATATAAAATATTCTACTATAAATTCCTCCAATTATTCCTTGCCAAAATGCAGATTAGAACTATTCAATAAATCCTTTTTTCCAGAAAATGTTAGAAAGTTGAATGCAATTTAACTCAACATAAGGAAGGCAACTTCCATGAAAAGCTTCAAAAAATGTCTGTCAAGCAATATCGTTAAACCTCCAAAGTATTTTTGAAAGAGATTTTGGAATATAATTCACACAAGGTTTAGACATAATTGAATTTTAAATTCTTATCTATTCTGCATTGCTCATGTGGACAAATAGAGGATCCCTTTTATTTGTTTTTAGTATGTTGAAAATATGCAACAGCAAGATATTATCTCATGAATAATATATTATCATTCAACAATTTGTACATAATAGATGTCCATTTGATGTTATGGGGTGATGATTCATCCTCTGATCAACAAAATGTAGAAGTTTTTAAAGTTATTCATACATTTTTAAAAGAATGTGGTCGATTCTCTGAAAAAATCTTAATTTATTGTATACATTGACTTGTATTCTGGTATCAAGAGATTACAGTCTTTGGAACTACTAATTGTTACTGAAAATAATTGTTCTTTATTTGGCAATGTTATAAAATTTTGTATAAGGAGAAGACTAAGTTGTTGTAGAACTTGTGTCTTATCCTTTTGGCTTTAATTGTCAATAAAATATGTTCAATTAAATTTTTCAAATGTATCACATCCCACCGTATTACTTGTGTATATCTGTATTATTCCCACATCTTTCTTTTTCTTCAAAGGTATATTACCATTTTTTTTAAGGGGGGGGGGGCTTATTAGGTCTTTATTTTATTATAAAAATAATTTAATTCTAGTTGTAACACATCTTTTGATTGGGTGAAAGATTATATCCATTTTATATAACATAACTTGCCTACGTCACAAGAGTTACGCCAAAAATGTATTACTCCGCTTGGCGATACTTTTAAAATATGCTATATTTGAAGCCCTTTTTCGGAGGAAAAATTGTTTCATTGTCAACACTGAAATTAAATTATAAGGAATGAAGATTATTTCAACTTATGTTATACGATATAACATAACTTGGGGCAGTTTACAATTTTGTATAAACCGCTTCACGGTTTATAAATGCCCCAAGTTACATATATGTTATATCGTATAACAAAAGTTGAAATAAGCTTCATCCCTTAAATAAATTGCTTCATATTGCGATATTTTTCATTTTCACAAATGTCATTCTTAGAATTGTATTCATTAGTCGTGAACTGAAAATAGTAATTAAATAGAAAAAAAGTGACCCGTATTTACACACTACTCAAAACAATTCTGATTCAGGAAATCTTTAATGACCCCTCAATTGACGTCTTAGAGAGGAAATCCTACTATAAAAGGGTGTTGTTTGTGGTCATCCTATTTACCCCTGATTACCCCTGATTACTAAAAAAAGAATAGGATTTCCATGAAAGTTTAAAAGTTTCCGTTATTAAGTGGCTCATCACAGATACTTTCATGTATTTATAAAGACATGAATTAGACATATTTTGTTACTTTTAAGATATATAAGTAACTTGTTTAGGTATTTCACTTTGCATAAAATAAGACAATCTACGGTATTTACTTATTAGTAATTTTAAATAGAAGGGAAGAGGCATTGATTGGTAAGTAGAATTGCCACGATTTTTGAAACTTCGGAGAAAAATGCAATTCAGCATCCCCTAATGAGAAGTATCATTTAATAATTTATCAACCGCTAATGCTAAAGCGCTGCTTATTACAAGAATGATTTATCAAGGTTAAGCATTGTAACGTTTAGATAATTTTTTATCATTTAGCAGTATTGTTACAAGGCTTCTACCAGATTTTGCATTTAATTTCATGTATATTAAAATGTGCATTTTTTTTCCAGTTTTTAATATAATCATGCATTGCTATTCAAAAATTTATTTTTAAATGTATTTAAAGTTTTCATTTTTCTGAAGAGGATGTATATTTTAAATAAATTGGAAGATCATAATTTTGTGGAATAAAAATCATCAGCATGATTATTTCAAATAATCGTGGTGTAAGCTTTTATTTCGTGAAATAAATTCATGTTATCTAAATTTTCGGAGGTCTGTCCAAGAACTGGCCCCGTTTGAAATTGCTGTCCTGTTGGTATCGGTATTGTAAATGATTGACAAAATTTAAACAAAAAAGATTCACGATTTTCAAAGCATTAATATCATGTTGTAAGTTTTGAATTAACTAGAGAGGTGTTAATGCCAAATTAATTAACTACATGAATATTGAAAGCAGTTTGAATTCGAGTGCAATGTACTTTGTGGAAATTTTAGTAATTCAGGACTAATAAACCGAGAACAATACGTGTCGAGTATTTGTGATTTACACTCTTTAATAGTCAAACTCGCAGACTAATTTGGTTTATTAATTCGTTATTTTAGTAACAAATCTGAAAAGGTCCTTTCCAGAAGATTATTTTTTATGCTCATTTTTCATTTTTCGAGATTCCTAAAAAAGCTTTTGTCGTGCAATTTATTTGAAAAAATAAATAACTCTTTGCTGTATATCTTGTACATACAAAAAAAATCGCAGTTTCAATTTGTTTCTTGTCAAATTAGCTCTTAAAACTGAAATATGTTCATATATTGAATCTAATATTCTGTTTAAGTATAGCTTGTATATATATTTTAAAAGAAAGAAAGTAGGAAGTTAAACAACGTATTAAACTAATCCCTGATGTTTCACTTATATCATTTTCAGGTTTAAAACGATGAATTACAAAGCTTTTTGGCTTACTATGTCGGTTTTTCTTTTTTACCAAGATTTTGCAGGTAAAAGTCCTTAAATATTGTATTAAATAGGTTTTGAATCAAGTTATCAGAAACTCTAAGCGTACAAAACTTAACGTCCAACGGATTCAAGCCCAAGGGTTGGGTTGGGAGCGGCGGTTATGTAAATAAGTTTTAGCTCTGCTGGTCAGAGACAAGAAGAGCTATTGCGATGGCAAGGTGTCCGTCGACTGTCCGTATGTCTGTAAACAATTTTTCAAAACGCTACTCCTCCCATAGTTTTGATCTGATTCCAATAAATCTTGGCACACAAGTAGATTACACTAAGATACATAAACTAGTGCATCGATATTTGATTTCAATGAACGGTGTTGCCATGGTTACTAAATATAGAAATTTCTGTGAAATAATTTCTTTCTATGAAATTGCTTTACTCATCCTACAGTTTTGGTCTCATTTCAATATAACTTGGCACACCAATAGACTACACTAAGATACATAATTCTCTTTATCGGCTTTTGATTTTGATGAGCAGTGTTGTCGTGGCAACTAAAAATAGAAAATTCTGTGAAATGCTTTCAAATTGCTACTGCTCCCACAGCTTTGGTCCGATTTCAATATAACTTTGCACACAAATAGACTACACTAAGATACTTTTAAAGTGATACTTTTAATACAGTTTGAAATAGTCTTATTATAATATAATCTGGCATGCAAGTAGAATGCACTGAGATACTGGTTTTTTAATTTGATGCTGCCATGATAACAAAAATTGGAAAGTCTGTAAATTTTTTAAAGCAACATTCTAACCTCCATAAAGCGTAATTAAAACGATTCTTTAGTTTACATTATCTTTTGACTTCGCAATTCCATTGAGAGCAATGACATCTATATTAACTTCTTTCAATTTCCCACTTAAATTAAATTTAATTTCATAAACTTTTGTCTATTTATAATCTATATAATGGTGATATTCCTTATTCTACATCATGGTGGTCAACATTCAAAAAATTACTTTACATTCTAGTTGTAGCTACTACTTTGCATAGAAACGTTAAAATAGAAGAACAAGAAGAGGAATTTGAAGGTAATGTTTAAAACATACTTACATTAAATATAACAAAGACAATTAAATTTTTAAAGAAGGGTTAATCATTAGCTGCTCATTTGCTTGCTTTATCTATTTCATCAAATTGCATGCATTTTGTAAGTAAATAAAATTAACGAAATACGAAAAAGGAAATAATTTAAGAACTTTTTTTTCTTTTATGTTTTGGAGTTCATTGTTTACTCTACTCCTATTTTGTATTGTTTTATGGAATTTGATATTGAATACTGTTCGTTATCTTCATATCTTTCACTTTAATCAAATGAGATATGAAGAAAACGAGCAGTGGTCATTCTCAAAAATCAATTTACTAAGACCCTCTTAAACAAAGATGGGATCAACTTCCATGGAGGAGTAAGCTTCCCCTGCCTACGAGTCACACCTACTGTGTGCTCCTTGTCATAATCGGGTACACAGAAAAAGTGCAAAAATAATTACCGAATAATTTGTTTGAAAAAAAAAATTAGTGAGCATTCGACGACGGATTGGATTTGCAAACAAGGTCATTCTATCGACCACAAAATATGCTAAACTTTACAGAATATTGCATATTTTTTCGGTAGCTTACCTCGTTTATAAAGTGTTGGTACTCTTGTATATGGAATCAAACTGTGGATATAATTAACTCCATTTATAGGCGAAAGAGGTACATATATTGCTACACAAATAAGGAAAGTTCGCGATAGAAAAATTAGAATAATAAAGACTACATGTATAGTCGTCAATTTGCTATCAATATCAATGTATTTCTTAAGCAAAGCATCCATATATGAAACAGATGCGTCAGACTCTGTGTTGCTTTTATTTCTAGTTAAGTTGGATATGTCCAATAAATGACTAATAAAAAATATTAATAATTCATATGAATTGTTGATTTATCTAAATGTCGTATTAAAGGCCGTAGCAATTAACCTTTTCGCTGCCGTAGAGATTTGGAGTTCAAATTACGTTCAGTGCCGTAACAGTTTTTTATTACGACAAATCTATGACGTTACGTTACTATGACGTCACAAACAAAGTAGGTAAAGGTATAAAAAACTTTTTCGCCTTTCACTTTTTGCAGAAAATGGTTTAAATACAGACAATATAGAATGAATTCTACAACGACAAGACCCTTCAAAAATATATTTACAAAAATTAAATTCACGCAAAATTTATGCACAAATAATATATTTCCAGTTGATTTATGGGTAGGTATTATTATTATTTTTTAATAAGAAAAATAATTTTATGTTACGTCAAGAACCTGTGGTTCAAACTATATATTACATAATAATGAACGCAATACGAGTAAAAATAAATATATACAAATGCAGTGGTATTAAAACACAGTACATGTAATGCATAAATAACTATTAAAGGTACTTGGACACAGATTTGAAGTTATTATTTTCTCTATAATATTACGACTTATATATTTTAATAGCATTTCACACAAAAATTAATTAAAAATCTTATTTCGTTTAAAAGATATTAAAATTTCAAATTTTTCGGCGGGTTTGATTGATATATCCTTGCACTCTCACAAATTTAATTTTATTCTTAATCCTTAGGAAAAGTGGCAATCTCGTTTTGTATAAATGAAAAATATTAATACTATAATCCAGAAAATTCAGAGTAGACACGTTCGAAAGCAAAACAAACACACAATATATTGTCAGTCCGTGCAGTTGAATTCTAAATATAAACAATAACAGAACTCGAGTCCTGTTTACAAAATCTGTGTACATAACACGAGTGTGCTCGATTTGCTAAACTCTGTACGCATCTCTTAGTTCGGAATGACGATACTTGTGAAGGTGTTTTGCTTTCTAACATCTCTACTCTGAATAAAATTATTTTTCTTGATAAAAGTTTTAATATTTCTCATTAAAACACATCAAAATTGCCACTTTTCCTAAGGATTAAGAATAAAGTTAAAATTTGTGAAAGTGCAAGGATGTGTCAATCAAACCCGCCAAAAAATTTAAAGTTTTAATAACTTTAAAATGAAATAAGATTTTTAATTAATTTTTGTGTGAAATGCTATTAAAATATATAATTCGTGATATTATACAGAAAAAATGAGAAAATATTAATTTCAAATCTGTGTCCAAGTACCTTTAAAAGGTTTTCGTGAATTATCGTTGAAAATTCTATCGTACTTGAAAAGGATTCATTTCTGTTTGTACACCTCAATTATATAGTTTTTAACGTAGACCTTACGTAATACATGTATATCAAATGTACCCGGCCCGTAGCTGAAAACTTTACTCTAGCACTCCGAAAAAATATATTGATAGACTAGTCTGTCAAAATATTTTTTGGAGAGTCTAATAAGATTTACTATTGAACTATAAACTAGGGAAAAAAGTACCACCTTGTTATACGGGCCTTTGCACACTTGATTTCTTCTTTTCCTAAACCATTTGTACGAGTGTTGTTAGAAAAGTTCGCGGACAAGTTCTTTTGTGAGTATACCATTTCATTGAAACCGGTCAAACTCACCAGATAAAAACTTTACCTATTTTCTAAAAAATATACAAAGATTTGATATTTTCCGGTGATTTTTAAAAAACTTATGTAGAGCTATATTAATTTCATAAAACATGCTTCACAGAGCATGCTACTTTTACGCACGTTTACATCTCATAGGCTTTTTATTGAAGTTAAAAATGCACAGTTGTAGCGTTTTGTTATAAATTATTTTTTTTATATTTGTTAACACGTTTTTATTGATAATACTGTCACATTTTCTAATCGTGCTCTAAAAAATATAACCAAGAATACACGACTATAAGACGTGAGTTACTTCGTATGTTTTCTTCGTCTTTTCACTTTTGATCCGGATACTTGGATGCAATCTATGGATTGTTTGAATCAATCAAAGAAAGAGGTTTAAATGTTAAGTTTATAAAAACTTACTTCATTATTTCTCTACAGATTTTATTAATTTAATAATGGGCATTTGTTTCTATGCTAATTTTAACTCATAGTATAGTAATGATATTTTAAAAATATTGATTTTAAAAATATATATCACAAAAAAAAAACTCCAACAAACAAATACAAAACAAAATAAAAATACAAACAAGTGTTTGTTCTTTGCTAAATAAACCCTTCAACGCCCTTAAAAATCAAGAGGCGTTTGTAAATTGACATATCTAGTTCTTTTTAAATCGCTTGCATAGCTGCTAGAAAATAAAATGAATAATACATGTATATTACTACTGGTTTAAGTAACGTTGAAATCTCGAGGAAATCAAGATATTAGAGGTATTTGCCCGCTTGGGTGGCGGGTCGGGGTACTTGCCCCAATTTCGATAGACAAAATATCTTGCCTGCCCTCTGATTTTAAAAACCTGCCATAATTCAATAATATTATAGTGAGATACAGGGGCGTACGGAGGGGGGGGGGGCTGCCCCCCCCCACTTTTTTCCCAACCTTACTTATACTATAGGAAATGTTAAATGAAAGCCTGATTGCCCCCCCTCCCCCCAACTTTTAGTGATGTACCGAAAATGTAGTATTAGAGTATTAGAAATGGTACTGAAAGTACTTGACACTGAGAAAAAGTTTGTTTACCTACCCACCCATCCACCCCCCACCTCCCTCCCCACGAAATTCCAGGTAAGTAAAAAATGTTTTTTCTCTGGCTGCCCACCCCCCCCCCCCCCACTTTCAAAAACGATGCTACGCCACTGAGATATAATCGAACAGGAGAAGCAAGCGAAAAAATACTAACCCGGCTCCCCCCTCCCCTGTCGGCAATTAAAATCGATGATTCGTGCCTAAAAGAAATTCAATCTCTGTTGGTCTTTTAAATAAAGAGGTTCTATTTCAAAGTCGTTTCTTGCAGAAAAAAGAGCCATAATAATATTGTTCAATGGACATAAGCAGTCTTTTTCCGGCAATTGGCGATGTCATGCACTGACTACAGTGGCGGATTTAAGGGGGGCGCACCCGGCGCGCGCCCCCCTAAAATTGTCAAAGTTAACGTAAATCACAGTTTCCTGTAGAAAATGGAAATATGTCTACTTGGTAGACCTCATTTTTACCCTACAAAATCTCTAGAATCCAGGAGCTTCCGGGGGCTTCGCCTCAAGGCGGCCCCCAGACCCCTTGCTTATTTTTTGCGCCCCCTCTAGCTTCAAATCCTGGATCTGCGCCTGGACTACATGTATTACAAAATTGAGGGGTTTATCTGTAAAGTTTCTCGTCTCTTTGTGGATTTTTTTTATTATGTGGCATGTATGAAATACACCCTTTCATTTTGTTATGCTCCCGAGGATGAAACTTTAAAACTTTTTATAGTCTGTCAAAAAGCCCTTCAGGGTTTTAATGTAATAAACTTTATAATATATCATGACGATTAAAGATTAAATATTATTTTCAGAAAATACAAAATGATATAGCATTACTAGTATTTCCACGATCAAAACATTAAGTTTTTTTTATGAGTAATAGTAAATTATTCCCGTTTTGAAGACAGACTAAATATTGAGTAATTTTTTTTTTTTTGAAATTTCTCCGTATGGGATTATGATTGCTTGCATCGCTCAAACGAGGATTGAAAACGCAGAAAGTTGTTTAATTTCAAATCAGAAGGTACTATTTTAATTTTCTAGTGACAAAAACAAATAAAATACCCGTTTAACATTCATTGCGTGGACCATGAGGTCCACGCAGTAAATATATAAGCGAAGTTAAACCGGATGCCCTGGGCAAACGACAGGTTACGCATGCGCGAGAATGCTAGAAAGTTCCCACCTTAGGTAACTTGCCCGTATAATAATTCGCCCTATTCGAATTAAAATATACCATTCATTGGCAAATCGCGCTTTTAATTCTGCATATCGCATTTACATATTCATTGGCAGATCCGATTTTCTCTCTTTTACATATACTTTTATATACAAACTAAACACTGATTCCATGGTACAAGCATTTTAAGAAGTTATACAGTATATAGCACTCTCTACCATCGGCTCATACATTGTGCA